GTAGTAGTAGTAGTAGTAGTAGTAGTAGTAGTAGTAGTAGTAGTAGTAGTAGTAGTAGTTGGAGGAGGAGCAATTGCAATTACAAAACATGAGAATGCATCTGAAGAAGCGAGAAGAGTACGAGTTTCAACGGTAATGAAGTTAGCGTATTCTAGATGCTAAGTAAGAGTGAGCATGTGGTGATCGAGGCACAGTGTAGCAGAAGTAGTAGATAGATAGCTAGCTAGCTAAGGAGACAAACAAAGGTGCTGCATTTGCTTCGTACACTGAATGTAATGCAAACTTTTCCTAGCTAAAATTTCATTTCCTAGTGTAAAGTTATATCTAGTAAATTGTGTGCAATGCTCAAAAAGGCTTTCATTCTTAACGGATCCTTACTTCATTCTATTTCATATCATACCATTTCAGAATTACTTTTCAAACCTTCTTTTCCACTTATTTCTCTCTTTGTTATCTGTGAGGATTTGCATTTGCCGGCTTTATTACTTAACTTTCCACCTTTTGAATTAATATCGAATAATGTTTTACGCATTGTTCATACAGGAACTGGAATTTAGCAAGCATATGATTTCTTCGTTACTGAGCTATATATTTTGTAGAACACAAATTACATCCAGCTAGTGGAATGAAGTTGAATTCCGATTCAATTTTATTATCAGTTACCTCACCGCCATTTTCACTTTGCCTCTTCTCTTCAATAGTCCTTTGTCGATCTAAAAGGATTAGTGCATTTTTACCGCTACAACGTGGAGTAACAATGTTGAATACTTTGACGTTTAACTAGAAAATATAAATTTGATGCAAATAAATTAGCTGTTTAGAAATGTTTACTGTCCTATTACTTGGCTCATTTCGCATTTACCGTTTCTTTTTTAAATCCTTTCGCACATTTGGCTGGCACTATTAGAAAACATTTCTTTGCTCCAAATGGATAACGGATAAGTTGCAATCGAAAAATTGCAGGAAAAAAATTATAACTGAATATTATTTGACTCTTCTCACTTTTTTTCTTTACACAGTCCTACCATTCACTTGCACTCTTTCCTACCATGCGACTGAATCTGATTTTCTCGTTTTTTTGAAAAAAAATTTTATCTTCTACTTTTTTTCTCATTGTCACATTTATTCTAGGGAAGAATTGTTGTTACCCATCCTTTCATTAATAGATCAGACCTACATTACGCTTAAGATTGCAGACGCAAGCTATTATTCGTGCATATAGTGCAGCTCCATGCAGTGCAACTCATGCATATAACCACATTGTTTACATTTTTTCGACATCAAACTATTTAAATTGTGATTAAATTATGTTGCTTCACCTCATTCACTTATTTCTTCAAGTAATTATCATTCCGATTGTTTTATCATCATATTCGGATAATAGTGCAAGTTATTTTTACCTCTGCTGTCCTCATCCTATGGATTTTCTAAAAGCCCCGATATGGCTGTTATATTAAACTCAAATAATAATATAATAGAAGCTGTTTTGTTAGGTCGGTGCGAAAATAATTGCATTTTGAAAAGTGCTTTATAGCTTCTTTTCCGTCCAACCATTGAGCTGCGGCGTCAGTTTTTATTCATTTCATTTTTCACCGTACATCACATTCGATTGAGAAATGGTTCGTTGTTATTGCGTGAAATAGGAGAAGACGGCAATTCAAAACGGCGATTTTCTTTTCGCTCTTCCGGCTTATAAGCTTCACTAATCGAGCTTTTCTCACCTCTCTAGTTTGTCTTAAATGTCAAACAATCATAAAAAGTCGACTTTTGACTCTTTGACAACTTTTGGTTCAGTTGTAAGAGATCGATGGTTATTTTCAATTGGTCATTGTCAATTTTCGATGACTGGTCATTCAACGTTCTTATCTCCTTTACACATCACTCGGGCTATTATTTTACTGTGCGCTTTTAAGCCAAATATGTTGTTCATATTGTAAATTACCTGCATCGCCACTTTGAATT